GGGAAACTCAACAAAACAAAATTATAGGCCATATCCAAAAAAAGGAAAAGAAGGCCTCACAGATTATAACCACCAGCTGTCGACGTTCGATAAAAGGGATCGCAAATACTTTGCAAGTTGCTGGAGAAGTGCTGGGTCTGTAAATGAGCGATCTCATTGCATTGGAGAGCATAAAAACGAAACAAGTAGAGTACACATAATACTATAACCGGCTTTGAATGCACCATCAGAGCAAGCAACAACAAAAACGATCGAGCAACCAAATTCTCATTGTCACGACGAGCTTTACATTTGATCCAGGTTTCTTCGGATTAGGAAAAGATATACGAGGATGAGATGAATAAGGGGAGTATTTCTAAATAGCAAGTTTTCTCAGGCCAATTTTTGGCTGGATACGTAGATGCGATCTTTTTATTTAGCTGCAAAAATAACAAATTCTATTGTTCACACTAAAATCCAAAAAAGAACGGCTCCAGATGGAACAGGCGATGACCTGCGAGCGTCCCATGAAGGAAGACGACGTTGACCATTTGCCCAGCCATCTGAAGTGCCTACTTTTGGTCGTGGTCAACGACAAACAAGGCGAATTCGACGACGCCAGCACGGTCGATACGCGAACAAGGGGCGCGATTTGGCTGCGTACGCTAGCCAACGTCTAGCGTCTAATCGGCAGTCTGCACTGAAACCCAGCCCCGACCGCCTTCCGTGCCGTTCGCGAAGTTCGTTTTGCCGGCCATTTTCGCAGTGTTCGTCTGGCAGCTCGTTTCATCCCTCGTCCTAAATGAAGTAGCCCTCTGGGCTTAGCCCGATATTGTTCAACCACATTCTTATGTGTTCACTTGAACTATTAATCCACTTCAAAGTCTTCGGTTACAGCCACTACTGGCTCAGGAGTGTGCGTTCACTTTCAAATACGTATAATTAGGGACTGCCTGTAATTTCGATTAGGTGTTCATTCTTCTAATTCGAACTAGGGTTGCTAGTTCATGGAAGTTTCAATGGAAAGGACTCGTTGAACAAGATCTTCAATTGTTAACCGACTTCGCGAACTAAGAGTTAAGACACTGCGGAAAGCACTTTACTTTATCGAAAACTAGCATTCAGGACAAGTGTTTTTTGATGTTCAAATATGCATATTAGATGAAACGATGAGGATTAGCAGCGGTGCAGTGAAATGTTGCCAGCTGCTCTGGCACGTTCTCGTATCTAGTGCATTGTTTATAGTCGTTTTCAGGTGTCAGAACTTCTCCATTGCGTACCTGTTAATTGAATCTTGTGTACCTACTACATAACATCTGAATCAGCCTGCATTAAACTGACTAGAGTTCGAAAAGCGCCCAAAGAGTTCATACTTACTTTCTTCTTTCATACTTCGCATAGGGGACATCGTATGCTCAATATTGATATCTGTGGCACGATTTTTTTATAAGGTGACATTGCGAACTGGCAGCCGCTAGTGCGAGGATCGCTCCTCTTCGTTTCCCGTCGTAAACATTTTCTTCACTTTTTTAGTGTACCCAGAACTGCATGGAAACGAACTTTGCTGTTTAACTTCCTTCATGCGTCCTTACAACACGCTTACAATCATTTTAAATGTCTTCCGGCTTATATGAGTACTCAGTGCTTTATGGGTAAACTGCTTCTTGTTACAAACTGGCCTCTCCGCCGATTCCCCATTCGTAATTTCTGAATTCGTTCTAAGGACTTGTTTTGGAAGAGTTTTTTAGGACTAATCTGTGTAATTGGCTGTTGAACACTATTGAGGGAGATCTCCCTCTCAAAACTAGTTGCTTATCATATTTTTCTAAACTACATCGCATAAATACACCTAGAAATTTCGAGGGGGATGCTCCACTGAAAGATGCCCAAAAGAGAACTATGGAGAAAGTAAAAGAAGTGGTTTAGTCTGGTGCAAGATCATAGTTCTACTCTATTTATTTTCGAGAGGGTTGCAAGGAGGACAACCTTAGTCAACTTTGGACCTTAAGCAGGGACGAATCGTCACAAAAAGCGAAGGACTCTTCGTAAATCGAGCGAGATTTGAGAAGAAGTCATCATGTCATCAACGGCTTCGTTTGAGATTCAGTGGATAGGAAGCTAAAAGACGTATTGAGTACGCCCCTCTTCACTCTGAAGTTGAAATAGGCAGCAAGTTTCGAGAGAAACATTCAACGCTACAAAGTCTTGCTCGCAAATTGGTATCTCTTTGGCCCCAGAGTGTTAAAGATGCGGTAAAAGATAAAGAAAGCAAGCGAAACACCATTTCTTACCAAAACATCGTGAAAATAGAGCAATTTCGCCGGAAAAAAGGATTCAGTTCAGCTGGAACAAGGTCAGCATTTAGCCTGCTGCTAGGTGTTATGGTAATTATACGACGCAGTGTACCCTCCTCAAGTGTTGACGTCGGTTGCACTTCGTTGCACCCGTCTGGTGTGAAAACCACATATACTTTGAGGAATCTGCGTAGATATGAAGTTGAAATCAATCGTTTCAATTTTCCGAACTGCCGGTTTTATTTTAGGGCATTCATGGAGGTACCATGAATTTCAGAACATTTCTTCGTCAACTTCAGTATACATAACGCCATACGTACACAGCCAACTAATTCAGCCCTACTCTTTTCATTTTTTTGTGGTTTGCAGCGATGGGAATGACAGCTGTCTGGAACAAGGGTTGCAGGGCGGGCGTGGGCACTGTATTCGTGCGATGGTAGCATTACCATTATAGCCACTTTCTGTTCTATGTGTGAGGCAGGGAGTAGAGTAGTCGGCTGTCATCGTAATGGCCGTAATGCTTGTGCGAGGGTGAAGAGATTTTTGTATGGGCCAGCTTTTATACTGATCAGTGTAAACATTTTAATGGAGTGGGTATGTGTCCAGTTAGAACCTCGAGAGCAAGAAAAATGAGTATGATTCTATCTTCGAACTTATTGTTCATGCATCTGCAATATTCGACAAGTGTATCGTGGTTACAGCAGGAAAACTGGTTATATCGGATAAGGGTTATCAGCCTGCCACAGAGCATTTTGGGTGCTCCCTATGTCTAGCCTGAAGTCTGTTGAGGCAGTGTGCGTTACCTGGTGGCGCAATGGCAAAAAAGTGGCAGGCACACGCACGCGTGCAGTCTGAGAGGTTTTCGCGGTGAATGGAGGTATGAAGTGTTGGATGCAGTGCAGCAGGATCTACCTAGATCGACCTATTCGATGGGAGCTTGATTGAATAGTATAATAGAACTGAGAAAAGCCCTCGCTATGCTATTGAATAGCAGCTGTCATTTGGTTTTGTTGTCTTCTATTTCGGATTGTTCCCTGTCTCCGTTTTCGATTATTCCCTATACTAAAGTTGTTTAAATGGGTTATACTTTAGAAGTTGCTTATGCTCTCCCGTCATATAAGAGTGATATTGCCAAGCATCGTTACACGCCGGCAGGCAACTAATTAGACACATTTTCGATTACTTTGGATGAATATGTTGTGATGAGCCATAGAAAATACTGAATTCCAGTGAGGTATTCAACCCTGACCGGGAGACGGGCATTAGGAACGATTTTGGGTNTGCGGCTGTCGCGGACCACTCATTCGCCGTTATACAGCTAGCATACAGCTCAATCGATATGCGATCATTATTTTATGCATAATTCTACTATTAGTACCTTTGTTCTTGTATTTTACCTACTGCTGCATCCTGCAACACTCCTTCGCGCGCGACGTCCCTCTCAACACGTCGTGACAATCTCGTTCCTACTGCACCACACCCACGCTGACCTATCTGCCCTGCACGGCATCTTTCGGGATCTAGTACTCGAAAGGCACGCCAATGCTTTCCGCAGCGTGCGGAGTCTAAGGCTAGGCTTTGAGTTACTATTGGACTGTCGCATGCTGGGAATTCAGGTACAAAGTCCGTCACCCAGTGGCGCGATAGCACTTCCATTGGAGCTGTTTTGTTGTTTCGAGTCAATGTATTCATAGCTGTGCAAACATCGGTGGCACAATAGATATCTTGTCATTTGTAATTCCGTATCGTATTACTCCTCCCCTTTGTTGTATATCTAGGACTTCCTGATTATCATCTTTCGTTCGTTCGTTTCATGTCTGTGGCTGACCAAGAGATTTTGATATTACTAAACATATGATATTATTATGGTGACAATGGATACGAGATATTCGTCTGAAGGTTCAGTCTCTTTCGCGGTTTCTCGTTATAATTGCAGGGATATTTCTTGAGTAATGGATTATCATTTTCAGATGCCGGTTTTCTCATTCCACACGAACGTTGCCGCTTCCAAGGTTACGCCTGATCTGCTGAAACAGATCTCTGCACTTGTTGCTCGTATTTTGCACAAACCGGAAAGTGTACGTGCACGTAATCTTTTTTTAGGGATAGTTATTGTGATAAGGTGAAGCGTACAGGGATAATATGTTCTTTGCTCGGCTTGATTGCACATCAGCCATCACTTTTGACAGCTCTGCAGTGGTGAAAGCCAGCTACGATATTCTCCCGGGTGTCCTGTGTACTGTACAAGTGGTCACAGAATTTGGATGTGATTGGTGTTGTTAGATGAATGGTGTTTGAGAATGGGCTTCAGAGGGATGGAAGGGAGAGAGGGATATGCCGTCGCTGGGGCGTTGGCGCATCCGAGTGATAGGGAGCTGTCTTAAAGTTGGCTCTATTTCTTCTTGGCTTCAACTTATTCTTGCTAAATGATTTTTATGAACTACAAATAACTGCTATTGATTACTGTACGTAACCACGATAATTTCACGCAGGGAAGGGGGCTTGTGTAAACTGCGAAATTCGATGTCTTCATTGAGTAGCGTACCTTGTTGTGTGTACAGAATTAAATCAGAGCGTGTAATATTTGAGTCGCCCTTCGCCTCTACGTTAAACGATTCCCTTTGCGCCGAATCTGCTTAGTCGCGAAAAATAGCTGTTTTACCTTAACGCTATGCCCACTTTTAACATTTTTTTTTGGTTTGATCTGATGATGCATGTTGCCTATACAGAATTTTATTCTATTTGTAGTATGTTTGCGTGCACGTCGTGCCGGACCAGCATATGATTTTCGCCGGGACCGACGAACCGTGTGGTGTTGGTGTGCTGAAATCGATCGGAGGTGTCGGTGGGAGTAAGAATAATGAGCATGCCAAGGCCTTATTTGCTCTAATCAAGGATCACCTCGGCATCTCAGGGAACAGGTTCGTCAGTGAAGTTTTTTTCCATTGCTTGACGAGTGCAGGAGTATTGTTGGGGGAGGGGTATTTGAGAATGAAAATATAAGATAAAATCGGCGATGCGATTACTTAATTCTGTAATAATCTTCTGAGAGGAGGCGAAATGTCTAGGTCTCCCCTATTCCTTGTCTCTTTTTCAGTTTTGCCCTCACTATGCCCTTTTGTTTACCATTTGGGACGTCCAGTTCAGGACCACCGCTAGTAATCAATATTATATTTTTATAATTTATCATAATTACCAATAATATATTTTCCTAGAGACAATAAGGTGATATGCAGAAGTGGGTGCAGGTTTACGTGCAGTTTAGATGTTCACTAGTGACGTTTTTTATGATAACTTTTAGTGAGGGGAGGACAGTTGCTCAAAGGCCCAGAAAAATGTCATTCCGTCTGGTTAGAAAAAGCGGAACAACAGTTGTATCATATCGTCTGAACCCAGTTGGCCATTTTTCGTGCGATGATTGTGCTCTAATAATTCCTAACCGGCGGTGCCCTCCTCCACCTTGTGTATACGGATCAAATCTATACCCACACTGATGTATAGTTATGTATTTATATAATTCTACTTGTAACACTCAGACAAAGACCCTGCACAACTTTTTTGCACTGAGTGTAGACAGAGGAGCGTTCTGTTCAGGTTCTGCGAGCTTTGCCCTCTTGCCATCATTTCTGCACTTTTTTTTTCGCGAATTTCTGCCATATTTTTGATGTTTTCCAGCGCTCAGGCAATATTTTTTTGATTGTGCTAGGTTATAACAAGGCCGTTCCTTACAAAATGAATTATGCGAAAGACGACGATCCCATTTTATGTGGCACCTATTCCAGTTCTCATAGTGCTTTTATCAGAAATTAAGCGTCTCGTTACTGTTTTCAGGATGTACGTTGAATTCATCGACATCGGTGCTGCCGACATTGCCTTCAATAGCAAGACCTTCGCTTGAGTATCCATTTAGCAACATACAACTGATTGTTTGCACCCGGTTATTTACTAGATCTTTGTTTTCACTTTTTACTTGATGTCATTGTTGTTTACTTGGAATAGAATTCATCGACATCGGTGCTGCCGACATTGCCTTCAATAGCAAGACGTTCGCTTGAGTATCCATTTAGCAACATACAACTGATTGTTTGCACCCGGTTATCTACTAGATCTTTGTTTTCACTTTTTACTTTATGTCATTGTTGTTAACTTGGAATAAAGTGTAGTTCTGTTTTTTTTTCTGAAATAAACAAATATAAGGTTCCCAGCGGCTCTCCTATAAGTCTGCGTCATGAGAATAAGAATGTGGCTTTTTTCTTTTGAAAAACTTCTATGGCTGCAGGAGGAGCTTCAAAAGGTTGGTGACTTGCACACTAACGATTGCTGGGGAGATTGATAAACAACGTTTTCATGAAAAGAGCACACAATTTTGACGA